TTAATAACATAAAAAAGCAAATTCATCAAATTTTCATATTTTTGTACTTTTCTCGATATTGACGTATCTAAGAGCAAAAGTGCAAGAGAGCAATAATGTTAACAATAAAATTTGCTACAACTTTTGTTCTAAAAGTTTCTTTATAACATGCTTCGATTCTCGAATATTTCCTTTAATAACATAAAAAAGCAAATTCATCAAAATTTCATATTTTTGTACTTTTCTTGATATTGACGCATCTAAGAGCAAAAATGCAAGAGAGCAAGATTGTTAACAATAAAATTTGCTACAACTTTTGTTCTAAAAATTTCTTTATAACATGCTTCGATTCCCAACAACTTGCCAATAGATTTGACCCCGAATGAATTTTTACCAATGATACTACCGACATTTGGTGGGCATAGGTTGGCAACGCTGCGCTGGGTATTCCCCTAGTTGTCCATACGATGTATAAATCAATGATGCTAGTTCTAGTTTTAATTGTTATTCAGCGCTAGATTGTTGTATATTGTTATTGTAAAACTTTTCTTTATTAAAAAAAAGTACAGTGTGTTAATTAATTAACATACACGACGTCATCATTGCAAGTATGCAACCAATATTACTAATCGCGTATTGCAATACCAGTACTGTGATATTGGTTGCATACTTGTAATGATGATGTCGGGTACTGGGCTTTGATAGTTTATATTTTTATTAAACTGAAAAACAATTTTATTCCAGATTTGTTGCAACCCAAACGACCCAAACCTCCTCATCTTACTCGGAAACCAAACGTACCGAATGCTCGCATCGTTCGAAAACGTTTGGCGCCAATTTGGTTTCGCAAAAGCCGAAGGTGTTAACTTCACATCCGGATCTTGGTTATCTCAAGACCGTTTTCTCGCGGGAACTTCGGACGGGCGCATAATGACCATCGAAAGTGGCGAGCTCAAAGCGATACACATCGCGTACGACACCCCTTTATTCAACTACAAATTCGAGGATGACGCCGAAGCGGGCGATTTAACAAATTTGTTAGATAACTCTTTGATGGCCATAGCAGGCGAAGATAACCAAGTAAAATCGATGTTTGTCTTCTCGAAAGGGTTTGCTTACGCTTGCGGGGTCGGAATGGTTTATTTATACGAAAAGGAAACCCCGCATCGTTACAGAAGACGAAACGTTTTTAAAGTACCCGATCGAAACGTCGTTCGAGAAGACGATGACCCAACCGTTGATGGTGCTTTAAACCATATTAATCATTTGGGGGTGAATTTATCTGAAGATAGGTTATTAGCGACGTGTAAAGAGAATCAAATGTATACGGTGAGGTTATGGGGGCCCGATATAGTTGCGCAACCTGAAATTATGTTTCAAGAACAAGGGATGAATTTGCATCATGGTGGAATTGGTTCGATTGCGGTGTGTAAATGGAAGCCGATTTTTATGACTTCGGGAACTTGGGACCGAACCATACGCATTTGGAACTTTGAATCGGAAACTTTAGAATTAGTTAAAACTTATTTAGAAGAAATCCACGGTTTAGCTTTGCACCCAACGGGGTTATACGCCGTGGTCGGATTCTCCGACAAACTCCGATTCTTAACAATCCTTTTAGACGATCTCGAAATGACCCGAGAATTCTCTGTAAGGAATTGTAAATTAGTATCTTTTAGTAATTTGGGTCATATTTTTGCGGCTGCTAACGGAAATATAATTCAAGTGTACTCGTCGGTTTCGTTCGAGCATATGTTTAATTTGAAAGGTCATAACGGAAGGGTTACCGGGTTCTCTTGGGTTCACGACGATTATAAATTGTGTTCGTGCGGGGCCGAAGGGGCAGTTTACGAATGGCAAATCTCGACGACGCGGAGAATCAGCGAGACGATCGTGAAATCGTGTCAATTTGCGGATGCCAATACCACGGGCGATGGAAAATCGGTTTTTGCGGTTGGCTCAGACGGCAGAATTAGGGAGATTATGAACTGTAATATTCAAAGGGATGTTTCTGTAACGCAGACGGCTTTGACCAAAGTGGTACTTTCCAATTCGAATTTAATGTTGTTCGTGGCTGGAATTAATGGAGTCGTTTATTCGGTTAAAATTCCGATTATGGATACAGCTGAATGTATTGAGTTTGTCGTACATCCAACTGCAATAAGTCATGTAAGTTTTTTTTTACTTATACACACACTTTTTATATGATTAAAACCTCTCCTTATGTGATGAGTAAGTTTTTGTTAATATATATACCATAAAGATGATAATACAAAGTCTTGAATGTTGAGGAAACCCAACGATGATGTTAAAAGATATCAAAAATGATGCTGAAAGACATCAAAGGATTATATTGAAGGATATC